GGTGATCGGTATCGGTGATCGGTATATCGGCCATCATGGGTGATCGGTATCGGTATCGGCAGGAAAAAACCTGATCGGCACATCTCTAATTCTTACTCCTGTTAACATCCCAGGATTTTGTGACGTTAAAGCAGAAGGCTCTCAGATGTGTTGGAAAAACTAAAACAGGGTCAATACAGGAAAAAAAAAGTCCAATAAACAAATTGTGGATTTTGATTGGCTAGCATGACGTGAGAACTCTATTTGCTTCTGATTGGCTCATCGGGTCTTCATGACGACTCCTTCCCCAGCAAGTTGCCAGATCCCAGTGAGTGGTAAGTTTCTAGAAATGGGAAAAAAAGACACCAGCAATAAAAACAACAAAACTTGGAGTTATTGCTGTTCTGGCAGCCTGATGATATACAGTACAGCTAAACAACCTCATGGAATCTTTCGTAGTTTATAATTAGCCTGCATGTACGGCCTCCAAGCTACTGCTTTGACCTAAATATGGTAAAAAACTAGATGCCCAAAATTCTCAAATGTAACCAACAGTACAAGACTATCATTGTGTGTCATTATCATTATTATATTACAGATTCTTCACTGTTTCCCTGCATTCACACTTCCCTGGGAGGAAGTACAGCGTGTTCCTCCCTCCGGTTGCTGGGCAGGAGTGAATCCACAAAGCCAGGCTTCTTTCCAAAAACAAATGGCCGGTCGTGTGACTTTTTTCAGTGCTACTGTCCAGACTTCAGTCTGCTTACAATAGCTGTCTGCCTCCTGTTTAAAGAACCGTCAGCCTTCACTGCCAGGTTCTCGCTTATGTCACTGGGTGTTATGGATGTTCAAAAAGCAAGGCTTTTTTCTAAACTCGGCTAAAATTATAACCATCTGCCTCACACTACCACTTGTGAAATGTCACAAGGAATTTATAGTTTCAGGACTGAAATCCAAAACAGTGGAGGATATGCATGAGAGTTTCAGGGAGAACGCCGTTCTAATGTGATTTATTTTCTAGCGTGCACAGCAAATTTTGAGGATTATTGTTCACAGCCGATGGGATATAGATAAATGCATAAATACACACATCATTTATAAAGATATACAGTGTAGATCTCCTCTTTTTACCATTTGGCCTCAACTGAAGAACTATGAGGCATTAGAATTTAAAAGAAAGCATGTGTGGGTGATTCAGCATTTAAATCTGCTTTTAATGGAGAGAAATGCACGGGCACGCTAATAAAACATGACACTCAACATGATTCCAAAGATCAAATCCATGTTCTGTTCTCTTTGGTCGCACTGGATATTTTTAGATTTGCCCCGCCACGGCAAATGGTAAATGTAAAGATAAAGGTTTGACAACCGGCTGATCATTTTTGCGTACGTTTTCCCCGCCGCCATCCAAAAACAGGTCTGAATCCTCCATTTTTCTGAGTGTGTACATTTGTTTGGCGCTTCTGTTACACATCACAAATACCAATGGGCGTTTTCTCTGTTAACCTGCTTTGACCATTCAGGCCTTCATAAAAACAACACAAACCTAATTTAAAAAAACAGGCAGACGCTGAACATCTGATTTGCTGATTTTTCTATTATTTTTTTCTTCTTTAATTTCAGGACAGTCTCTACAGAACACTCTAAAACCAAATTGACTAATTCAAACCCATGACTCTCTTCTCACAGACATTTACGCAAGTTTGAGATTTAATCTGCGCGGATGCTCATTTGATTTAGAAGTGAATGAACTGCTCTGTGGTTTCAGCCGACGCTTTCCCCACACGAACGGAACGGGAACGCCGCCGAGATCAGCAACGTGTGAAACACGAACACTTTGTTTTCCATGTACTCTGTCCGTATAACGCACTTTTCATCTAATGCGATCAAAGCTTCTTTAACGTGCTACTGTCTTTTTATAGCAAGTGAAAACAGGCCTCTGCTGCTGCTGCCCGTTCTTGTAGAACTAATAAGAAACAATGAAGACTCGCTCCGCTGCACATTGGTCTGTACGTTTCCTGCAAAAAAAAAAAGCCAAGACTCTCATTGTTAGTATCTGTAGTCCCTTCAACAAGCACTGATAGTTGCTTTATCGCCAACCTCAGGTGCTACGAGGAGACAAACGAGGTGCAAACTCTACTGGTTTCTGATAACTAGTTGACAACATTTAATGGCATTCATATAATCCCAAATGAACCTCATTAGTAGACTGCATTATAAAGACACTAGGTCCCGAGGCGCTGGTAACCACTGCTGCAGAAGTCATTTTCAGAGTCCTGTGGCTGCTCCGTTGGAGGTTCTAAGCCTCTGGGCGAGAGCAGCTGTGGCTGCGCATTTATAGTTATTTAATATGGATTTAGGACGGTGCACATCGCAGAGTTTTACTGGCAGCGATCAATCAACGTGATCAAATCACACTGACTGTGCCAGAATTCATCAGGAAAAAAAAAAAAGAGACAAAAAGCAGTCTCTTTTTTAAAGCCAGACGCAATATATGTTTAACAAAACTCAAAGTCGTTGAATCTACAAACAGGAACGTCGTCGACAAATTATTTAGGAGACTCGCTACATTGTATGGTGTGGAAGAAGTTAAAAATCATCATCCTTCTGCCTCCATGTTTAAAAGCTAGTATGTGGTGTTTATATGCTGTATTTTCTCGTTCCTTTAGCTTTGCAAACTTGCTCTTGTGGCCTTTGTAGCTGCAAACGCCGCAGCTTTCATACACCTGGCACACCGGACATGTGCAAAACTAACACAAAGTCAACAGAAGTGCAATTACTAACACACCATTGATCCAATCTCACCTTACTATGCTGTCGGGATTGAAGGACTTTGATTTGCGCTGCTTTGAACCGACTTGTTCAAAGCAGCGCGATGAGATATAAAAATAAAATTCATTGATTTGCGTCAGCATGTCTGAAATTGATGCCTTGGTCTACTTTTCAAATACGTTAGCCATAATAATTCCCCCACTGCTTGACTGCACTCAGAGTATTGGAATTTCATCAACACAGACAGCAGATCTTTAAATGTTTTTTTTTTTTTTAAACGCCACATTTTTAAAACGCCACACCCTTGATCCCAATACACAAAAGTGACAAACATGTTTTAAACATGTTCCCCTTCATTTCTTCACATAATTTCAATATGCCAACACGTATGGGACGATAAGAGAGTGTTAGCAGCTTTAGCGCTTAGCTTAGCCTTTATGAATACGTTTTCTTCATGCATAATAATGGAATTCAAGTTATCTGGATGTAGCCTTCACTGATTAATGACCAGCAGATATTGCTACTCAAAGGTCAATGCTGATGACTTTTCCCCTAAGCATAGCGTTAATACACACCTGTGTGCTTCACACCATCAACCTGCCAAGACACCCGTTACTATAGAGATGGTTATATTTGGTGACGATTAAGATCATTTTAGCAATACTTCCTGCTACTTTCCCTTTAGTTTTGACTTTACTTGTGTTCAGTTACTTAAAGACAAATTCTATACAGACTCTGCTTTATCACACTTGAGGCTTAAGGTTTGTCAATTTCATTTTCCCCATGGAAGACGTACAACAACATCCGTGGAAAACAATAGATATGCGTTACTGTGATACATTTACACTTTTTAGCAGTCGCATGCTTTCTTTTACTTCCCCTGTCCATTCTTTCGGCCCTCCATCGTACTTCCAGCTTCCAAAGGTTTTCAGATAACCTCCCTGCCTTATCTGGCACAATGCCGAATCGTACACACACACACACACACACACACACACACTTAAACGGCCCCCCCAAAAAAAATCGAGGACACGCCTCACTAAGTTATAGATATGATTCATGAAAACAGTCAAAGCACATTTTCCCGGCTCCCTCTCTGCATCCCCTCGTCGCCCCTCTGAGGGCACTGGTGAATGATGATCGGCTCCAATCTATAATAGGTTTTCACGGCTCCCTCGGATCAAAGCGGCTTCTGCCAGGATGACAACATCGTCGTCCGCGGGGCGCGTATGGTCATTCACGAGTTTGATGAACAAGAAAACCGTATCACACAAATGCCACAGCTGTCTAAAGTGCCAAATGTGAACCCAATTGAAGCCTCCTGCGTACCGGATTTGCATGTTTTTTTTCCCGTGGCACCCTGCCTCGTGTGTGTATTATTACTTACAGGGTAACATAAGGGTTGCTCATTATAACTGGAGTTGTGTTTAATCGGTGCAGCCTGGAATCAAATACCTTGTTTAATGGCATTTAGTGAGGAAGCCAACAAGAGACGGGTCGACTTAGAAAAAGGTTTTATTCTGCAGAAACACCAACTGAAGTGTGAACATTTCTAAACACGGGCACAAATTTGTTATCTCAGCTTTTAAATTAAAATCTGACGTATTGACGAAAGCGGGCTCATTAGTGTCTGCGTCGGCAGCAGTTTAGTTACAGCCGAAGTTTTCATGAGCCGACGCCGCTGGAAGTCGCTAGCTGTTGATAATCGCAAGCTCTGCAAACTAAAGCCAACATGACAGAAGCAACAAGCTGTGAGACGGCAGCAGCCGCAGTTCAGTAAATATTTCAAAAAACTCTGAAATTTGGAAATGTTGAAGTCAAACCCAAAAATACGAACAGAAAGTTGTAGCTGAGAGCGTCAATCCTCGACAATGGCTGTTGAAAAACAAAATGTATAAATTCTTAGTGCTTTCATCACATAAAAAGAGAATTGGTTCTCCCTCTCGAGGCTGCAGAACAAAATTTTGGTTTTGGAAATCTTGGTGTTGGCGGGTTGTTTTTTGACAAGTGTGCTGGCCATAACGTTTTCTTGTATGGGAAACACAAGAAAACACAAGCTAATATTGGCTTGCAACAACAACAAGGACAATGCTGTATGGAAACATTTAAGAGTTAATAAAAATCCTTCATTATCTGGTGATGTAGTACGGAAAATTACAGGTTAAGTTGCAAAACATTAATATCAGCAGCTAATTGCTAAGTGCTAGCCTTAAGACCAAATACAAAAGAAGCAATACATATTTTTCAAGTTTTTATGGCCAACAACAAGAAGTTGTGTTTACCCAAAGGGTGCAAATAAGCACACCTTGGGTTCTATGAACACAAAATCACACAAAACCAAAGCGATTGTTAGGTTTTACATTTTTGAAACCTGGCATTAAACACACAAACTAACAACACACAGAAAGTACAACCATCGTCTGAAAACCCTTCATGCTCGCTCCTAAAAACTGCTAACAGCTAATTCTCGTCTATCGTAATTCATCTCAGTGTGACAGAAGAAAGAAGAAACTAGGGATTTATTTTTGAAGTGTGAGCCAATAGACCTTTCAAGCTTCAAATCGGACAAAAGCTGCAGCTGATTGGCTGGTAGGCTACGAGTCAGTCCGGATAAGGGTTTTATGCCTACTTCAAAGGAAAATCTAGGGCCTTGGGAAGTTAAAGGAGAGAAATACGCCGCAATCGCTCACTTGATCTCAACTCGGTTGAGCTCTACTTTGCTTACGGAGAGCTAAATGAAAGGCAGGACGAGTCACAAACCAACATCTGAAGACGTCTACTCTTAAGGCCTTGGCAAACGAGGGAACCAATTTGTTGTTCCCGTTTCTCTATGGGTGCACCTTTACTCCAATCTGAACGCAACGGAGGAGTCTTTGAAGTTTGCACCAAACTACATCTGGAGACCCACAGACCTCATCTGAAGATCAACAATAAGCGATTCAGCAAACTCCACAGGGCATCTTTGATCTTTTATTGAAGAGAAAGCGCAGCGAATAAAAAAGGTAATTCCTCAAAAATAAAAAGTGCAACCAGTAAAACAAAAAAAAAAAACACACCAAAAATCCCCAAAAGACAGTACACTAAACTTCTCGAATATGTGTGTGTTTTCTTGTGGAAATAATTATTAAAAAAAAAACAACAAAAAAACTTCTTGCTTCACTTACGCTGAGGTCCACGCGTTGGAATCGCCGTCCGATGGCGGGACGGCTAAAACTTTTAAACAAGGCGAAATCGAGATGAATCAAGGTGGAGGTCGACAGGTGAGAGGAGTGCTCCTGCCCTTTTCCCAGGCACACAATATAGATTAAAGGTGGGATGAGGTGATTCGGGGATTTGTTACTCCACCAAGGGCCATTTAATCATAGCGTTGATAATAGGAGCCTCGATTAGTTGCCCCAGGCGATTCCTGGGCTCTGTTACCCTTACAACAATAATGCGTGAGCAAGGAGCTCCCTTTGAAGGTGACATTTAGGGGGGGAGAAAAAGGTTGCCGCAGTGCCACCATCGACTTTGATAAATTATTTTTCATCAGCCAGGAGCTTGCTCTGCACCTGTGCATGGGCCTAATGAAAGTAGAATGGACTGTATAGTGAAGCCCTGCGCGTGTGCTTCTGTTTGTGCATGTGTGCTCAAGTAAGACCTGGTTTGTGTGTGTGTGTGCGTGTGTGTGTGCGTGTGTGTGTGTTTTTCAGGACTGTGTAACCCAGGGGATTCTGTGTTGTCCTTCCCACTTCCTACAAATGAGAAGAAGTTATTGAGTCAGCATGGGAAACAAAGGGATAAAACATGAAATATGAGGAGGAGGACATAAACAACAACCGCGATATCTTCTAATCATGGAGTCCCATTGTGTTGCACTCGCATGATTATTCCTGCATTTTACTTCCAAATTAAAAGCTGATTCTTCCCACTGAGTAACAGAATGCATTATTTGACTCGTGGCTATTTATGGTACGATTTCCTTACCGAAGCTACCGGAGAAAACCAACAAACACGATCACAGTTTTATGAAAGCTGTCAGCGCTCAAGGCATCTACCCATCAAATGAAACCCTCCTGTGTTCTCAACTGCAGGCATTTATTTTTCCTCAGCATATTTATTTTATTTTTATTTTTTTATTTTTTCCCTTCCACAGTCCCTCCTGAAAGAGACGTTTGTCAGCATGCATACCTCAGTGAGGCAATAAATGACAAGCTGGCAGCGACGGAGCAGATTTGATCATGAGGTGTAGGGACAGAGCTAAGTGCGTCAGAAATGTGCTGATGCTCCTCGTGAATCATCGAGGTTCGGCGCTCTGGGATTACAGAGAGGAGACGGGAGTTTTGACGCTTATAAACGAGAGCGTCCCGTGTGAAGCTGTCCAACAAGTCGCACGACTTCGCTTCCTTGATTTGGTAACGAAGCAGAGAAGAAAGCGGTTGCTATAACGCTGTGAATGAATTTTGGCCGGAAAAATTAAAGTAAACGCAAAGCAGCGTTTTACATGTGATTATTGCACAGAGCGCGGCATCTTTTCCCATTCTGTTGTTGTTGTCTTTTTTTTTTTTATCTAAAGCAGCAATACGTTGTCTTTTCAAAGTCACAGAGAAAAGACTCTCTGTGACTTTTCTCTGTGACTTTTAATTTAAAGTGCAGCTTTAAATTAAAAGCAACATTAGGATTTCCCATAATTCTAAGCAATTATATGCTAACATAGGTGTTGCAATAACTACAGATTAGCTAGTGTTTTTTCTGATACATATTCAGTGAAATGTATCTGGCATATATGCAAACTGTCTCTAGAAAGACTTTATATTCAGTGGAAAGACTAAATTAGTATTTTAGTCCCCTAGCAACCAAACCCTTCGGGGGGGAAGTTGTGAGCAGATGCCGCGAAGTGAAATTCACGTAGGTTTCTGGAATGCTGATTCCTTTTGTCCAATTTTCTTGTCCTGTACATAATATATTCAGGGGATAATTCTTTAAAAAATGCATGGGCAGGATGCTTAAAACAACCTTGGATCTATTAATTATGCATAATGGTAGCTATAGTTGAGTCTGAAGTCTTGAGAATAGATAAAAGGAGTTTCTTTGTATATTAAACGCAGATAC